AGCTTCAAGGATCATCTATATAATGATGAAGCGAGGGTTCTCACTGAATTTAGCATCATACAATTCTATCGTTCATGGGCTTAGCAAGCTGGGTGCTTGCATGAGAGCTTACCAGCTGTTAAAGGAAGGGATTGAGTTTGGTTACTTACCCTCTGAGTATACTTACAAGGTTCTAATCGAAGCTCTTTGCCAGGAATCTGACCTTCCCAAGGCACGGGAAGTCCTGCGGGTTATGCTGAATAAGGAAGGTGTGCAAACGACAAGAGTCTATAACATTTATCTGAGAGCTCTTTGTCTCGTGAATAACCCAACCGAGCTCTTAAATGTGCTTGTTTCAATGCTTCAAAGTAATTGTCAGCCTGACGTTATAAGCCTCAACACGGTCATTCATGGGTTTTGCAAGACTGGGAGAGTGGAAGATGCTCTAAAAATTGTGCATGATATGATTACGGGTAAATTCTGTGCTCCAGATGCTGTGACATTCACCACAGTTATTTCTGGTCTGCTGGATGTTGGAAAATCCCAGGAAGCTTTAGACTTATTACGTCATGCTTTTCTTGCAGAAAACTCTAAACCTTCTGTTGTGACATACAATGCAGTTCTTCGTGGATTGTTCAAACTTAGTAAAGTAAAGGAAGCAGAAGATATACTTACTAGCATGAAAAATCACAATGTTGCTGCAAATTGCACGACCTATTCTATTATAATTGATGGTCTATGTAATTGTAATCAAGTAGAAAAAGCTAAGAGGTTATGGGATGATGTTATCTGGCCGTCCAAAATGCATGACAACTATGTGTATGCAGCCCTACTCAAAGGAATTTGTGCATCAGGTGATCTGGACGGGGCTTGTCATTTTCTTTATGAACTGGTAGACTCTGGGGTTTCTCCGAATATTTTTTGCTACAACATTCTGATTGATAAAGCCTGTAAATTAGGATTGAAAAGAGAAGCTTATCAAATTCTCGGTGAAATGAAGAAGAATGGTCTAGCTCCTGATTCTGTTACGTGGAGGACTCTTGACAAATTACATAGCAGTGTGAAAGTGCATTCTTACTCTGAGGATTCAACATCACAATCTGAAGGGAGTCTGCCTGAGTTGATCAGGGAAGAAAGGTTTAAATACTCATGATGTTATCAAGAAAGCATTAAAAAAGGTTTGCTGGTTTGGCGTAAGCACGTTACTGGATCTCATCTATTCCCAGTACTTACCTGTGGTAGTGTCACTGAAGCACGTGATGCATCTAATGCGAGAGAGATGGTGTAAAAAGATATCGGTTCTATGACCAGAATTGTGGCTGCTAGGCCGCTGTGGTTACATGAAATAAAAAAGAAATGATGATATTATCGGCTGATGACCTTTGCTTTTGGCATAATAGAAGATTCAGCAAAGGAACCTGACTTCTTTGACTCCATTGGCTTCTGTGCTGCCTATCTTGTGAACGAAGTTTTGCACTATGCAACTCCAGCTGCTTCCTCAACTTCCTGGGGTTCGGGCTCTGCTGCTGTCATCGATCCGCTAACCTTCCTCGAGCAATTATCCGGTTCTTCTCTAGCACTTGTATGTGCTATTATTTGTCATTTTGTCCTCATTCTTATAAATCTATGGTAGTCACACCCCCAAGTTAATTACAGAATGTTGACTAACTTAAGCATTACTGGGGTTGATGCTCTATCAAGCTGCACATGTGATGGAGCCGACATCAGATATCTCTGATTCTGCCGAGCTTGATCCTTGAGGTGCTTCCAGGAACCAGTAAACGTGCTTCTGTTACCAGTGAAGTCATGCTTGACTGTGGATCATCTCACACAAATTTGACTATTTTCTCCAGGAACACAAAATTCCACCAATACATCGGAAGGGAAAACAGAACAAGAAGCCAGTCAATGTTAAAATGCTCCATTTCGAAGCAAGAGTAAACACAGGCAGCAAAGGGACTTTTGTTCCGTGTGTGGCAATGCAGGTGACACATTGCAAATCGTTTTTGCTCAGCTACTCAAATGGTGATCAAAAGAATTTGAGTTGCTCAATTTTGTGTACGTTGAATCTAGCCACATCATAGTGCTGGAAAGAGGTGGGCTTGACGATCTCAGGTACTTGAGTACTTCCATATAATGATCCTGAGGCGTGGTTTTAATACCGCAGCATACACAGTTGCACTATGGCATTACTGGAACTGCGGAGTGTGGACTATGAAATGAGTCTCAACACCCTTTTCATGTGGTAGGGTCCCCCAGCAGTTCTCCTCGGAGCTAGCTGCTCGTCCCAGGCTGCCCATGCAGTGCACAGCACGCAGTGGCCTTTGCCTAAATGCTCATGCGCCGATCATGCCGATGCACCAAGCCTTGTGTTCGATGGCTGTCACTGAGAATAGCAAAGCTGGTGAAATTTTCAATATCGCCTCCATTTCTTTTGTACTCTAGTTTTTGACCATTGGGTGTAAGCGGAGAACCTTCTCCTTAATTTTAGTTGTATCTGTCCTCATTCATTTACCCCGATTTCCGCGTTCAGTTTTGGAATTTATGGTACTCAAAGGATAACCAAACTTTCTTCATTGCAAAAAACATTGTTGACGTGTCTCAAAGGTTTCATGATTCACAGATTTTAGGTCTAGCTAATGAGAAAATATTAGAGAAAATGATACAAATGGTCCTTAAACTTTAGCCCAATATGTAATGTGGTTTATAGACTTTTAATTTGTTCAATATGGTCCCTAAAATAGTGATAAATATTCAATATGATCCTACCATTTGCTCAAACGACAAATTAAACATTATATGATGACTTAAATTAAGGCATTCATATGTCCATTGTTATTTGATAATGTAAATTATAATATTCTAGCTTTAGATGAATATCTTACGCGGATAATACACGTGTAACTTACTTTTTTTGTTCACTGTTCAACCTTAACAGATTGAAAGCCACATCAATAGATTTCGTTAACTTAATTTAACGGAAGGATGACATTGGATATTTTTATATTATTAAGGGATTAAATTGAACGTATACTAATATATCAAAGAGCACATCAGAAAAATTAAATAATCAAGGGATAACATTTATGTTAGACCAAAGTTCATAAATCATTTGTATCAATTTTACAAAATATTATACAGGTCATTTTAACTGCAATTTTAATATTGGAATAAATGCATTGGAAGTCCTAAAACTTGTCACGAAAGTATTATTAAATCCTAAAACTTTCAAAAAGTGTAATCAAGTTCTAAAACTTGTCAAATTGCAATAATCATATCCTTCTGTTAACTCCATTCAACTTGGCCAATAAAAAATGTCGATATATTTTTTTTATTTTCTCTCGTTCGTGTCACTAACATGGCTAAAACATTAAATATAAGGATAAAACTACGTCGTTTGGTTCAAATCTGATTTTTTTAAACCAAATTTTAATTAAAAATAAGCTGAATTTAAATTTTAAAAAAGGAAAAACCAAGCCCTCGCTGCCACTAGAGGTGTCAATGGGTCGGGTCGGATCGGGCTTTCATGATACCCTACCTGACCCAAAATCAATAGGGTTGCGCTCGGCCCGCCCAGACCCGGCCCAAGACCCTGTTCAGCATATACCCCAAGGTCCGGGTCAGGTCGGGTTATGTCGGGTCGGGTTTCAGGTTCGTCACTCAATTACGACATTTCCAGTTTTTTCATCCTTCTCCAACTCCATGCTTCTCTGAACATCGGCTTCGTTGGGCCCCAACACCGAAATCGGCTTCGTAACCCCGAATTGCCTCACCTCCATCGCCATCGCCGGCACGGGGGGTGACGACTCCCTCAATCCCTCCGAACTCACCATCCGAGACGAATCAAATCAAAACGCAAAAGCAAAAGGCAGAGCCTAAATCGGGCAAAGAACCGTCCCAATCGACGAAAAGAGATGTCCCAAAATAGAAAAAGGTCTCCGCTTTCTCCCCTGAAGAACAACACCACCCACACCAAAAGGGAAATCCACAACCGGAGGATTCAATCGACGATCGCAAGGACACCGGAGCCGAGGCCCGATCGGAGGAACGGTGAGGGAGCGGGCGAGCAAAGGCGCTGACTTTTCGGTCCCATTGGGAGGAGCGGATGAAAGGAAATCGAAGCCCTAATCGAATCGAATCGGATCAAATCGGGATGCGCCGGAGGAAGGAGGAGGGGGGGGGGGGGGAAGCGGATCTCGCCACGAATTCAAGAGGAGAATGCGAAGGAGAAGAGCATCCCGAAGCCCTAGATCATGTCGTAGAAGAAGGAGATACAGAACAGAGAGAAAGAGAATAGAGAGAAAGTGTGATTTTTCTAAGTTGAGGAGAGAGAGGCAGATGTGTGGACTGTGGCCCATGGGTGGTTTTGTGGTGTCAATGGGTCGGGCCCAACCCTATCCAAACTTAGTAATACCCATACCTAAAAATCCTATCCAAAATAGATAATACCCAACCCCAAAATAACCCAAATTTTAGGGCTGGGTCGGGCCAGGCCGGCGTGGGCTTTTTGGACACTCCTAGCTGCCACCCCATTGTCTGCTGAAAAGGACCAACGATGGTGGGGTGATGGCTGACGGGAGTAGCTAGGCCTGGGCCAGTGACCGGCAACCCTTGTTGATCGTAGGCGAGCCCCTGGTGATAGTGAAAATAAGAAAAATAAGTCTCTTCAACAGTTCTCTTTAGCCAAATTAGTTGGGAGTAAAACGGTATGACTTGATTGCATCAATTTGATAAATTTTAAAATTCGATTGCACATTTTAAAAAGTTTAATGACTCAATTGCACTCTCGTGATGAATTTTAAAGACATCCGGTATACGATCTTCGGGGAACGCGTGGGGCGGTTGTTCGAGCGGTGCGAATTGATATTCATCCACCGCGTGAGTATCCGCGTGAGGATCACTCCACGTGTACCACGTGACTAGTCGACAGGTGTCACTTTCAAAAGAGGAAGCTTCGACTTGAATTGATGTTCACTCCAATTACTTTAAATGGCAGCGATTTCTCTCCCTCGTCTTCGATACGTCTCCTCCATCTCCATATCTTCTTCTTCTTCTTCTTCATCTCCTTCCGCATCAGTCGAAGCTCCTCTCCGGCCACCATGGCGTCCAAGCCTCCCAACCTCAGCCTCAAGGACGCCGGCGAGCGCGAGCTCCAGAAGGTCTTCGACCAGTTCGACGGCGACGGCGACGGCAAGATCTCCCCCGCCGAGCTCTCCGGCGTCCTCTCCGCCACCGGCTCCGCCTCCTCGCCCGCCGACATCCGCCGCGCCATGGAGGACATCGACTCCGACAAGGACGGCTTTATCAGCCCCGCCGAGTTCGCCGCCTTCTGCCGGTCCTGCTCCTCCTCCTCCTCCGCCGAGGCCGAGATCCGCGACGCCTTCGACCTGTACGACCGGGACAGGGACGGCCTGATCTCCGCGGAAGAGCTCCACCTGGTGCTCAACCGGCTCAACGCCCGGTGCTCCCGCGAGGACTGCGCCAGGATGATCCAGTCGGTGGACAAGGACGGCGATGGGAACGTCAACTTCGAGGAGTTCAAGAGGATGATGGCGGACTCGATTCCTGGTAACGGTGGATCTGTGGCCTGAAATTGATGATTTCAGGACTGTGTTTTCCCACCGTAGAATCTGATTTTGAATCGACCTATTACTACTACATCGTATTATTAGCTCGTGAGCTCGTGAACTCGTTTCGACCAAAAAAAAAAAAAAAAACTCGTGAACTCGTATGCATATGGATTTGCATTGTGCCTGGAATCGATTTCATCCATCCGCTGTGATTTTCCCTTTAGATACTTACTGTGCAATCAGAACAATGCATGTAGTGCATCTATTTCTGTCCATCTGTTCGGCTCAGTGTTTTCGATTCGATGCATCATGAAGAAGAATCAGCGGAATCTGAACCAGATTGCTTTAAGGATTTGATTAGTTCTGAGGGTGTCGTGGGCTGAGTCGAGTTGTGGCCCAATTGACGGCTCTATAATCATGGCCCACTGGGCTTAATCGCTTTCGTCTTCCCATTAATTTGGAAATTGAGTTGGTAATAGTAATACTCGTTCGAAGGTTTCGCATGATTCCTTTAGGCTGCACCAATGGAAGTTGCTCAGCTAGACAGTAGTGTAGGGAGTTCGATCGATGAAAACGTAGAGGATTTGCAATGATTAATAGCGGATAGATCACTGGACATATTCATATAGTCCTAGTTAGGGCTGTCGAAAAAGATCGACCCTAACAGAAAGTTTCGAGTCGGGTATCGTCCGGTTCGGAGAGTGACTTAAAAAAATCCGGTTAAAATTACGGTTTCGGTTCGGTTCAGGTCACAAACCTGTAAGACTCGAATCAAAATATGTAAGTTGTTCAAATCAAGCCACATGACTTGACTGGTGTTTCACCAAATGCCATGTGCATGACAATAGATGTCATGCATTGAAAAGGGCCTACTAACTTATGAAATCTCGAACTTTAAATTTAAATTCAAATCCATTTCGAATATTTTTTGTCCCACAAAAAATCATCTACTTCCATGGAGTTCTCAAATTCGCTCACAGCTAGGTTCTCATCATTAAAATCTACTGTCATTAAAGTCTATGTGTGATTTCATCTTTCTTTTCTTTTTGTCTTTTAACGTTTATCTCTCTTCTCACCCTCATCCAAGCCCCCACATCATTGATTGTTAGAACTCTCCCTCTTCTCTCTGTACTGAACCCAAAGCAAATGTCAGTAGAAAATCTTCATTTTCTTCTTCAGTATCTAGAGAAGCATGAGCCCGTGAAAGGAACGATGGTCTGCACCCTCCTTTCAATTCCGCGTCTGCAATGCCATCCACCGCATCCTTGTCCCCAACCTTGACTGGTGGTTCCATCCCCCGGCTCTTGATGCGCTCCCTCACCGGCGCCTCCTCTACCATATCGGACGACACCTTCCTCTTCTTTTCCAACTCCGTTACCTCCTTTAGTCTCACCGTGCTCACCGAGAGCCTTGACCTGACTTGCTCCATCTTCTGGGTCAAAGCTTGGACGGTCTCCGTCAATGGGATGGACACCCCGATGAGGGAGTACTTCAACATCTCGCTCACACCATCACGTGATTCGATGACTCCCCGCCATCGAATCCGTGATGGCCAAGATTGCCTCACTGAGTTATTGCCAGTTCGCTATGGGAGAGCTGCGTATTTAGCTGGATCGAAAAGTCCACGCCCAGTCACCGCGATCTCATTGGTGGTGGCAGTAATGGCCTGGGAGATGCGGTGCCGTTGATCTCGAGGTAGAGCTCCGGGGCGATCGGCGTATCGGTTGTCTTGGAGTCGCGTGAATAGATGGATTCACGTGCAAATGCCCTATCCCACGGCCGATTGATGCCAGCGAGGGACTCGAAGGACGCTTGACTTGTTGGACGACCGGTTGCCAACGATGACAATGCTAGGGAGCTGGATTCCCTCCATGACCATAAGGTGTCGAAGCTTGTTGAGAGAGAGCTCGTGACACGGAAGGGATTAATAGGAGAGAGAGAGAGAGAGTGACAAAGAGCGAGTCCAGACAAAGCGGGACTTGGGAGAAAGTGAGGAAAGAGAAGAAGTCAAATAAAAAAAGAAAGTTTGACACGTGGCATGACAAAGACTTTATGGTGTGAACGGAGGAAATATTTAGCGGTAGTTGCAAAACGCCCTGTCAATCGCTGACGTGGCCCGGATATTTTACTCATTGTCAATAATAGGTTTATAGATGTCGGCTGAGGTAAAATAAAAATAAGGGAAAATTTCAATTAAGGATCCCAAGTGGGGTCAAATTCTCGAAAAAGGGCCCAAAGTGAACATTGTGTCAAATAAGGCCCTGAAATGCTCAATTAGTCTCAAATAAGGACTCGAAGTGCCCAAAAAGTCTCAAATAAGGACCTGGGGTCCCCGTCCGGCCAAAATACCTGCCGGCTGGCGAGAAAGTTACTGTTCCGGCACCAGAACAATAACTTTTTAATTTTTAAAATTTTTTTTTTTCTGTTTTTCCTTTTCTGTTTTTTTTTCTTTTCCTTTTCCTTTTTTTTTCTTTTCTTCCTCCGCCGGCCATAGCCGGGGCCTGAGAGGTCGCCGGCCTCGAGGCGAGGCCGCCCTCGCCGGCGTCGGGCGAGGGCCGCCCACCCTCGCCTAGGCCGGGCGAGGCCGGCCAGCCTCGTCGGTTCTACGGCCGAGGTCGAGCCTCGCCCGCCGATCCGGGGCGAGGCTCGACCTCGCGGCCTTGCCGGTGCCTGCGGCGCGAGGCCGGCCTAGCCAGGCTGAGGCGAGGTCGAGCCTCGCCGGATCCGCGAGGGCTCGGCCTTGCCCGACACCGAAGTTCGTCCGGTCGAAGCAAAGTCGAAGATCGTCTGGAGTCGCTTCCTCTCGATTCTGCTCAAGGCGGCGATGCAGGCCCTGGGTCCTTGGAGGAGGCCCTGCTCCTCCTCCCACGGCTTCTCCTCCCACGGCTTTGACCGGACGAACTTCGAGGCTGGAGAGAGAGAGGGCTCGGCCTCGCCGGATCAGGCGAGGTCGAACCTCGCCCGCCTCGCCCGGCGGCCGGCGGGGCCGAGCCTCGCCGGATCCGGCGAGGCTCGACCTCGCCCGCAACCGGGCGAGGCCGGCCGACCTCGCCCGGCCCCAAAGCGAGGCGGGCCCTCGCCCGATGCCGGCGAGGGCGGCCTCGCCCGAGGCCGGCGAGGGCGACCTTGCCCAGCCCAGGCGAGGGCGGCCTCGCCCGACGCCGGCGACCTCCGCCGGCTCCAGCTATGGCCGGCGGAGGAAGAAAAGAAAAAAAAAAGGAAAAGGAAAAGAAAAAAAATAGAAAAGGAAAAACAGAAAAAAATAAAAAAAATTAAACTAGCCGGCCGGCAGGTATTTTGCCGAACGGGGACCCCAGGTCCTTATTTGAGACTTTTTGGGCACTTCGGGTCCTTATTTGAGACTGATTGAGCACTTCAGGGCCTTATTTGACACAATATTCACTTTGGGCCCTTTTTTGAGAATTTGACCCCACTTGGGGTCCTTAATTGAAATTTTCCCTAAAAATAATTTTTTTTTTATTTTTATCTTCTTATCTTCCTCTTTTACAGTGCACCACCTCTCCGGCCACCATCTCCACCCCTTCCGACGTTGCTTGCGATCGGTCCTCCTCCATCACAGTATACCACCCTCCAGCCACCATCTGCACCCCTTTTGGGGTTGCTTGTGGTCGACCCAAGCTACACCTCCATCATCATTCGCGGTCAACTTCATTGTTGCTCGTCCAGATCTAGTTGAAGCTTTGCTCGTCCATCCACTGACGACAATGAGCCATGATTGGAGTTTGTCCATCCATCGACGATGGTGACGACTACGAGCAATAAAGTCATCCGTCATCGCTCGCGGTTGGCTCCATTGTTGCTCGTCCAATTCTAGCCTCGCCCATGGCCAAAGGCTTTGCTCGTCCAACAACTGTTGAATTTTATTATGGCCCACGTGATTAAGGGTCTGGCCCATATGTGGTTTAAGTTTAACAATTATTATGTATTAAATTCCTATTGGTCAATAGAGAGGTGTATTCTAATTACTGTACACCCTGATGGATGGTGTGACTATAAAAGACCCAATTAGAAACTGATCCTCTCTCAATCCTAGAACAGAACGACGGTTTCTTTTCTATCAAGAACGTCAGAAAGTGAAAAGAGGTCAAGAGAGAGAAACCTATTTCTTTAAAGATTTCTCATCTACAATTGATTTCTTCACAATGAATCATCATGGATCAAGGTATGTTTCTCGTCTCTTATGATATTATGAAAATTATCTTGTTCTAAGATCATGGGCAATTATGTTTTGTGCAAATATTAGGGTTTGATCTGCATAGAACTGTTTGAATTTACATGTAGTATCAGAGCATGGTTTAAGAACTGGTGATTTTCTATTGAATGTTTGATTTATATGAATGAGTCACAAGTCGCATCGTCATGGGAAACAAAAGCCCTAAGTTAATTTGGCATTACGGTTATCGCCGGACGTGAATTACGCGGCGAAAGTCGTGGTAGTTAGAGTTTGCGTTTTGGCAGAATTTTGCTTGATTCGGGGCAATTTCTTGGCCGTTTTTTTACCGATTCTTGGACCTATGTGGTCGTGCCGGCGTGGTATCAGAAAACCCACAATTTATTTTAATCTATGGTGGGCTGTTGGAAGGAGAATCAGGTGGCGGAACGGCGGAAGGCACGGCGGAGACGACAAAATCAGTGAACAAGCGCGTGCAACCACACGTCCACGCGAAGGGCAGGCGCGTGCAGCCACACGCCCGCATCAGTGGCAGGCGTGTGTGGTGCACGTGCCCGCGTGCAGCGCAAGGCGCATGCGCCGCACGCGCTCGAGTGAAGGATTGGGCGTGTGTGTGACACGTGCTTGTACGAATTCCAGCGTTAATTACTATTATGCCATTCCCGTATGATTTTCCGATTTTGGCCCTCTCCGCATTGAAAATTTATGTTTTTCCCTTGCCACGTGATTTTCCTGTTTTGTCGTTGCTGCATAAATTGTACTGTTTTGCCCTTGTAGGCAATTATATGAATGTTTTATCCGTAAAATTAAATGTCTAGTGATTCGTATACAATTTTACTTGATTAGAGATCAACCACAACAACTCTTATTATCTTATATTATATACATTAAGAAGTTTTGGATCACATATAGTAAATGGACATTAATTGTATTTCGTTCAATTGAAATAATTATTGTTATGATTATTTAATTTGATATCTATATTATGTGTAATTCGTTAGTCACCAAAGTGACCGAATTAGAAAGTTTCTCATAGACGTCAAATTAAATAAAATTCAATTACCCATGTTATGTGATGCTACTAATGAGATGACATGATGTTATATATATTGTTTATCATGAGTAATTTGAAGTTCATCGATTATAAAATATTGAAGGATCACCCAAAGGTTGATAAGTTAATTTTATAATCATGAACATAATAGTGGTTAATTAGTATACTTGGTTAGATATGTTTAGCATATCCAAAGGTAGCAAACGTGTCTAATTGGAGTATATATAATTACCAATTATGTGAACTTA